ATTTAGTTTGATTACTTGCATATTTAGAACACTTTGTACAAAAGTCTGTCTTTACCTGTGGATGATTCCATGTCTATGAAGGTAGTCTAGAGCCAGTGCTATTTCAGATATGTATTTCAAAGCCATGTCTTCGTCAAAATAACCATATATGTGTAGGAGAGACTTAACATCTCCACCAATAAGATATTCCATTACCTATTAAAAAAGAACATAAATATTGCAAAATAAAACCATTATGATTGCATTTAAAAAACTACTTCAGTATTGGGCATACATTTTAAAGAAAAGATTTATTTTTATTTATTTATGCACAGAAGAACCGGGTACAGGCCAGAGGTGTGGAGGAGTGAGAGGATTCACCAGAGACAGAATGGAGAGCAGAACAGGCTGACCTGCTGAAACACACTGCTGAGAGGAGCATGTGAGACAGCAGAGGTCTTCTGAGCCATGTGGGTCAGCTCCCTGAACAGGAATCTTACTCAGGCCATAGCAATGGATGTTAGCATGATAGCACTGAGACTTAACCCCTATGCCTTTAGGGAGGCCCCTCTTTTTCCCTGGAGATTCCTTGACTAACACACCAAGTGAGGTAACTTGACCAAGATCATAAAGTTAATAAGCACAAGAGTTGGAATTCAAAAACTAGGTACTCTAAATCCAAAGGTTGTATTCTTAAGTCAATGGGATCAGTGATTATTGAAAGAAAGTGTTAGATTATTTACTTACCAAGTAGATATTGCTTGCTGACTGCAGTGAATAGTACAAATGGACAATAAAAGGACTTTTGCTTAGTGCCAGTGCATCCCTTTCAGCTTGTACCTGATGAGTCATATTTTTGTTGATCATATCTGCTTTTTTGACAACCTAGAAAACATGACAACAGATATTCATTTTTTTTTTTTTATTACAAGGTATTCTCAGGTATTGAAGTTGCCATCATGAAAACAACCAGAGAGATAAAACATATAGTTGGCATCTGGACCTCACACTGTCAAAAGGAACTCTATCAGAAGCACAACTAATATTGTAAAAACAAAAACAAAGCTTTCCTTAATGGAGAACTATTTATTCTGGTACTAAGTGGCAAAGGTATCATATCCCTTTTGAGTAGGAAAGAGAGAAAAACATCTGGTCCCTGACAATTGAATTAAGAAAATCTTTATATCTTTCTTGACCTACATATGAATGGGAAAAAATCTGATGTTTTAACAAAATCAAATAGTGATGTTTTCTAATAAGTCCCTAGAAACTGGAAATACAGGCACAAAGAAATAGTAGCTTGTAATTTTTGTAAGAGCTGATTCTTTGATGATGTGAATAGTCAGAAACAGTGAGAATGTAGAAGTTTATTTGCTTAAGTGAAAAAAAAATCCTAAGAATGGTTAGATTTACTGGAACTTGACAGCAAATACTAACAGTAACTATTGTCTTCAGAAAATACAAGTTACTTTTTCTCAGTTTTAAGGTAATTAGTAAAGATGGAAAATGATAGTTTATATTAAAGTCTGTGCACTAAATTGAATAATCAGCAACACTGACGTCAATTTTCAGGGATACTACAAGTGAAAAAGGGCACATTTCTTCCATTTCTTCCAAAGATTCATTACAGTACTTAATAGGTTCATTAATACATTGCAAGTCCTACTTCACAATCCTTCATTAAGAAAACTAAAGGAAATTGACAAATCTAGTCTGTAACACGGTTTCACCTACCATCCACTGCATTGCAAGTTCTACAAAGGAACATTTTGTTTACCACTGTAAACCAGATACAGCAGGGATCATGAGAGAGGAATGTAGAAAGGAAACACAGGTGGTCAGCCTGCTAGAGAGTCACATAGCAATGTCCAACCAGACGCTGAAACCACTTTCAGACACTCAGGTGTCTTGCTTCTTCTCTTTGTCAGGTTTACTCAGAATTGAAATGTGAGTAATCTGGAACTATGAGAGTGAATGCTAGAACAGTTTCAATTACATCGAAATCTAGGCTTATGGAAAAATACCTACTGCTAAAATAAAAGACGGAGTTGGGATATATTTCAGGTTAGTCTTTAAAGTGAAACATCAACTTATAATTGAAAGGCTTAGGAGGAAAAAATGAGGTTTAATGCGATCTTCTGGCTGTACAGACGAGAAATTACCCTGTACCCAACGCAGAGAATTAAAATATAATCTGGCAGTAATGTTTCGAATTTAAAGATTGACACTTAATCGGGTAAAGGCCATTGGAAGAGAAGGGCGGGGCAGAGGCGATTTGGCACCTGCCTGTGCGGATGGCACCCCAAGTGAGAAGTCAGCGTGCTAGATTCTGGAGGCTTCGGAAAGCCAGGCCACGCAATGAGCCCTGGGGCCAGCCCAACTCAGGTGGCAGGAAGAAAGACCAAAGGCCTCCATGCTTCCCCCCTTTGCTTAAAACTGCTTCTTACCTTCACCGCATACAACTTGCCTCCTTTCTGCCCCAGATACACCTTCCCGAAAGCGCCACGGCTGATGGGCTTCACTATGTTGAAGTCCTCAATGGAGGGAGGTCGAGGCACCGAAATCCTATTCAAACATGGCCCTGGGGCCGCGCCTTCCCCACTCTCGTCGCTCCCGGCGGTGGGCTCCATCACAGCCCACCTTACCAGGAAAGCAGCGGTCGCCGCCCAGGCCCCGCCCCAGCCGCCACTCCCGCCAACTAGGTTCAAAGAGAGGCGCCGCCCCCCCCGCGCGCCGTCGTGACGTCATGCGCACCACCTCAGCCGCGGGGGGCCGGCGTAGCGGGGTCCCAGGGGCCGCCCCTTCCCGGGCGCCCTGGAATCGGATGGGCGTGAGGGCGGGGTGCTGGGAAGTTCTCGAATCAGCCACAGGCTTCTCGTGAGCAGCGGGCACGGCGGATTGGCTTCTTTCGTAGTGATGGGGGAGGCACGGGCGTTTCTTGGCCGACAAAAAAAAAGGAACAACGGGAACTGGAATCTGATTCGTGGAATTTGAAGGTTTTCGCCCAACCTCCAAACGAGGCTCGTGGAACCCTGTCATCTTGTTTTGTTTAAACTCTCTTTCCGACCTCCCATTTCCGCAAGAAATGTCCAGAAAAGGGGTGGCTAAAGAGATCCCAGTGTAGAGAAACCGGAGGAGCATGAAGAGGTTGGCCGGCCCTCTAATCTGACGTTTCAACACGATATAGCTCCCCGACAGAAACAAATTTAGTTCCGACTGGGGGGATTTCTTATTTCTTGTGGGGCAAAATAACAGAACACTACATTGTAGCCAAAGAGCTTATCGTAGCTCAAGGCCAACTCCGGACAGAATACATCGGAAGAACTGATCAGGGCGCTGTAGAGTCGCCTGACAGGGCCGGTGTCTACGGCCAGGGAGCGAGGGGCACCCAGCAAGTCCTTATCCAACGAGAACCCGAACTACTTAGGGGCAGCGGCCCCTGGAGGCGGAGCACTGACGCGAGTGGGGGCGCTGGACCTCGCCTGCCCCGGAAGTACTGTTGCCTTAGCGCCTTGTCTTCCGGGCCAGGTTGTGTGTCTCTGTCGTTGCAGCAGCTGTAGGAAGGAGAGGCCATTTTCCGTTTCTAGGAAGAGTCTGGGGCAAAAAGAAGGGGGGAACGAAGGAGCAAAGAGGGCTCAGCGCCTCCCTGCCGGGCCGTGAACACCAAGGGAGTTTCGGCAGGCGGGTGAGGTCGCTGAGGGCCGGAGATGTTTTCTCTGTCCAGCACGGTGCAGCCCCAGGTGAGTGAGGTATCCAGCTCATTTTTCTCCCGCCCTGCCCGCGGCTTTTTGCTATTTATGTGTCGTGGAAGAGGTTTCTCGTAAGGAATCAGAGAGGGACGTGATTAACCCAACACAAGTCCCGGGTTGATAAAGTGGATCAGGGGCAACCCTGAGAGTCGGATCTGAAATTTAATAAAGGTCTGATGATGAAACGGAGGTATGAGAACGTGATGCAGACCTTGGTTTATCGAGTTGATGGCGTGGAATTTTTGCTAGAGAATCCATCAGGCATTGTTCATTGCCGGGCATTCTTGGGTGGCGGGGGAAACATCTGGGCCATATATATTTGTAAAGAGAGCGAATAATATTCCCTTTTCATCTTTCCCACTGTCCAGTGACTTTAGTATTCATCACTTTAATCTACTTGCCCTTTAAGTGCAATTTAATCCAAACGTGCTATAACAGCAACAATTAATAATGAATAATCCACCATGAATGCTTTCCTGATTTTGACCTGAAATGATTTTTGTGCCTTTGTGTAGCTGTTTCAAGTTACTGACTGCTTGTAGTTACAATTTTGATTCAGTCTCCTCCCCAGCTTTACATAAAGCAAAAGATGGGGTAGCACAGAAGTGATTACAAGGCTTTTTTAATCATCTTCTTTCAGAGTAATCATTTGTGACAACGTTTTCTTTTTGGTTTATTTAAAAGTCGATGGTGACATTTTGGTGACTTTTGGAAAGTTCTCAGTTTTGCAAGTGAAGGGTTTTGGGAAAGCATTCAGATATAAAAGTAATTTTTTGACTCTTAGTTTCTTGGCTTCAGCAAGTAATTATGTGCCTTTGGGTACCCTTTTTATCAGTATTGGCTGGATAACTGAAGGGACACTTAGTGGGTACCAGCCATGTGCCAAATGAACAAGGCAAATGTGGACTCTTGATGATACCAAATACAAGATGAGTGGGTAGGAGTAAACTCTTCTCTTAGCCAGGTGAAGAGTGAACAGAGCTAACAGGTATCTCAGCAGAAGAAAGGATATCTGGAGGTTCTCAGATGGGAAGAGCTAAACTGACTGGAAGAACAAAAATAAGGCTTGTGTAAATGGAGAGTGGTAGAGGGGCAGGTCATGCAGAGTTATAGTGGACTTTGAATTTCATTTTAAGAGTGTTGGAAACATTGAGTGTTTTTAAACGTAGAGTAACCTGACCGGTTTTCGTTTTTTATAGCTCACTCTGATTTCTTACCTTATGGAGACTATAGAAGGACCAGAGTGGAGGTGTTTTCAGTTAGGGATGCTATGAGAGTAATCCAGGAGTGAGATTGCACCACTCAGGTGGTGACAGTGGTTATGGAAAGGAGATGAGATTATTTTGAAGAATAAAGTTTTGAGGGATTGGAAATAAGGGTGATGTAAATAAAGAATTGTTTCTGGTTTAATTAGCTGGATGCATAAAAGTGTTATTTATCAAAGTGACAACCAAGATGACTGTAGTCATGAGTTAGATTATCTGAGTTAGAACTCTCCTGCCTGTGTTTTCTAGCTGTATGACCTTGAACATGTTGCTAAACCTATCCAAATATTTGCATTTTTCATAAGTTTAATAGGAAATATAATAGTAATTTTTAGGGCTGTTATGAGATTTAAATGAGATAATATAACAAAAACATGAACTGTTAAAACCTAGCATATGGTAAGAACTTGTTTGATTTTTTCATTTACTTAACAGGTACTTATTTTGGATCAACTATGTGCATTGTTAAACTGGGATACAGTATTGAATAAAATAGAGAAAGTCAAATAGAGAAAAAGAAATTATAAAATATGTAAATTGTGTATTATGTAAAAACATTTTGTGTTGAGTAAGTAATTACATAAATAAAAGAGAATACTAAAATTGCAGAGGGAGCAATCCCTTGCCACCTGGCATTTACAATCTAGTGGGAGAGTGTGGTAAAATATTTGGTCATTGTTCCCACTTCTTAGGGTAGAACCACTGGAATTTCATGATTGATAGAAGTGTTTTGTCTCTTGTTACTCATAGAGCTGCTTTAGTTTTTACTTGGACTAAGAAGATGGACTAAGTGGTCTAAGGGTGGAGTTGCTAAATGACCTCAAGATTGGATTGGTCACCAGAAAGACCTTGGGAGTCCAGAGCCTCTGGGTGGGGAGTGCTGGCCTGGAGATTGAGTGTGGTAAAACTCTGGAATCATAAGATTCAGTGCTTAGATTCACAGTATGGGAAAAGTAGTATCTACCAAGTATGTGGGTAACATAAGCTCATACAGTTGGGACCCTTCTGGATCTTGGCCCTATGTACCCCTTATTTATCTGACAGTTCATCTCTGTCTTTTCTAGTAGGCCAGTGATTGCTTAGGATGTCCTTTGATTCTCTGAATTAGCCTAGCAAATTATTGGTGCTGGTGAGTGGTTGTCAGAAGCCCTAATTTATAACTGGTAGATCAGAAGTATGGTTGCCTGAGATTTGAAACATCTGAAATGGGAGCAGTGTTGTGAAAGTGAGCCCTTAACCTGTGAAGTTTGCACCAACTTCACAGTAATAGGTATCAAAATTAATTGAACGATTGGACAACCAGCTGAAATTGGTTGGTGTCAGATAATCGGGTGAGAGAGACAGTAAGTGATGTATATACATAAATAAAATACACATATAATGTTACATAAGTGCCAAAAAGAAAGAACAGCAAAAGGGGATAAAGAATATTTTTGAGGAGAGGGTTGTTGAAATATTAAGGAAGTTGGTTAGGAAAAAGGTGTTTGAAAAGATGACTTCTGAGTTAAGGACTTAAGTGTACGAATTAAGCTATGTTTTACCTGGACCAGAGGGAATAAATAGCTCTGCGAAAGACATTGAGTGAGGTCTGCCAAGTGTGTTCCAGGAACAGCAAATACCGGGCAGGAGCAGAGAGAATGAAGAGGAGGCAGTGTAGCAGTGGATAAAGTAAGAGGTGAAACGGGCTCTTCCTGCCGTAGTTGTAAGGACTTTGCTTTTATTGTGAGAAGGAAGAAAAGCCATCTGAAGGTTTTGAACAGAGTGGTAAGATCTGACCTTGGTCTTAACAGAGAAAATGCAGGAGCAGTTAGGAGACTATTGCAAAAATTCACATGAAGGTGATGGTGACTTAAGTCAGGGTAGTACAGTGGGGAATGACAAGTGTAAAAGTATGAGTATTTGTTTTCTTTTTTTTTTTAAGATTTATTTATTTATGCATACAGAACTGGGACAGGCCAGAAGTGTGGGGATGGGTGAGAGGACCCACAGAGATGGAGTGGTGAGCAGAGCAGGCAGATTGACAAAGTACAATGCTGAGGGTCGCAGCGGGTGGGTCAGGAGAGGTCTGCACACCAGGTGGGTCACGGTCACACACACACACACACACACACACACACACACGCCCCACCCCCTCCAGGGATCAAGCTGGTTTCACAGTGGCTGAAATAGCTTCACAGTTCTGTGCTTTAACCTGTTGTGCCACCAGGGAGGGCCCTGTTTCCTTTTTTAATGTCTGAAACATTTCATTTTGTGGTGGTGTCATTTAGTCACTCTCTTAAGGGCAGACATTTCTAGCTTTTACTAATTAAACATTTTTTAATGTTTTGGTGTATACTGCCATTTATGCATATGCAGCACTTACAGATTATTTCCTTACAGAATAAATTCCTAGAAGTTAGGATTGCTGGAGCAATGAAATGTATGTATTTTTAATATTTTTGATTCATATAGCCAAAATAATATCCTAAAAGAATTATACCAGTTTCCTTCCTAGGAGCAATACATTTGAGTATTTGTGATTTTTAATATATAGTTTTGATATATAGTTTTACTTTTACATATACACATCCCAAACCCTGACCAAAAAAAGTCTTGTTTTTATTTTATAAACCACTCTACT